ATGAGGCAAAGAACCTCACCGCCCCCCGCTGGTACAAAGACCTCTCCACAGGTGTGGCTGTATACTGGACCGGCAGTCAGTGATGGATAAGATCCAATTACAATGGTACCAACCTAAGACAGGAGGCTGACGCCTTGAGGTCAGCTCATCCGATAACGGGTAAGGACCATATGTACTATTGGACAACCTAAGGCAGGCACGGTCCCTAAGCCACATGCTTGTTGTTTAAACAGAGAGGGGGAGATGTTGAGAGCCACAGCTGAAGGGGCCCCAGCAAACTTTCAGACTGCCAGCTGATGATTGGCTCACAGCGGCCCCAGCAACATCTAGCTGATTGGCTCCTCTGCGGTGATGCTCATTGGGCTGTTTCCCTGCCCTTTCAGACCACGGAGCTGCTCATTGGGGGACTTTTTGGCTCCGCCCACGCGACCCAGCCAATCGGCCTCAAGAGCAGGAGGATTGTGGGAGGTGGAGAGGCTTGTGGTTGTGAGAGAGGCTTGTGGGAAGCCAGTGGTGACAGTTGGGCTCTGAGGGTTTTTCCTGAGGAGCGGTTTTGTTTGGCGTGTGTGGTTCTAAAAATAAAGTTCGTTTCTTTTGACAAGTGTCTCCTGAATTGTGCCCAGCCAGACTGCGGCAACCCATGGAGGCTGGAGACCACCTAGAAAGGACCGTCCAGGCAGGCCCTGTGGGTGCAACCCATGGAAAAAGACCCACTTTGAAATTAAAAGCTGCAAATCGTTTTAACTTCCCAGCTTCCTCACAGTGAGAACAAAGCCGAAGCCCCCTTGGCCCTGAGGGGTGTCAGGACTGTGACAGGTTCACAACATAGATAATCCACATATGTGTGTTTCCTGCCTTCTGTCCCACTGTGCTCCTCTACCTCTACATCCCCTCAAGATGGAGATCTGAGAAAGAAAAAGTTCCCCATCTTCCTCAAAGCTGGCTTTGAATGAGAGAATGAGACCTACTCCCTCCCTCTGCTGAGCCCAGCACTCATCTTTTGGTTATTGGGTGCTGGGAGGACCATTGGGGGCTGAGGGTAGTGGCCCAGGGACAAGCTCATGTGGCACTGTTTCAACAGGCACCACCCTGGCAGGTGTAGCTCCTCCGTGTAAGTCTGTATGAGGGTGGAGGCAGGGGCAGCTGGCCCCAAGGGAGGTCGTCAGGACCAGGCCCTGCAGAGTCACCTTCTGGCTCTCCCACCTTCTCACCCGCTCTGAACAGGAAGGAGCTGGATGGGCAGTGGAGGTACAGAGCCCAGAACTTGCCACAGGCATCTTGGACAAACACACCCACTCTGCCCTGTTGGCCATTGTTCCCCAGGCTCTGTGGGCCTTAGGTGGGCCAGGACACAAGGGGTGAGAGAGGTAAACTCATTAATCAAGGACAATGGATTTCAACAGGAAAAATGGAAGTACCTGCCCTCTGACCACCCACAGCCAGCGCCTTGACATCTGCCCACTTGCCACCAGGGGGCGGCAGTGGGCCTGTCTCTGGGGATCAGGGGCTTCCCAGATGTGCTGCTGGGCAGGGATCTCTGGCCAGCCTAAGCACTGGGGCTGCCCTCCACCTCACCTCCAGGTAACCAACTTCCAAGGGCCTCAGTACCCCAGGGACAGGATGACCCACTGAGCACCCAAATGCTGCAGTGCAGTGGAAATCATGCATGGTGACAACCCTGGTGTGACGGCTTCTCCACTTGTTCATTTTCATCTCTAACTGATCTCCTGAATTCTGAGAGAGGAAATGTGGATTTTAGTTGCTTTGAGTATTTTGAACGCTTTTTTGCTTATGTCCCAAGACCTCTGCTCTGGGGACACAGAGGGACATGCCTCCTACATCTTTTAGTGGAATGCAACTTTTTTAAAAATTTTGTTTTTAGATGTTGATGGACCTTTATTTTATTCATTTATTTATATGCAGTGTTGAGAATCGAGCCCAGTGTCTCACACATGCTCTACCACTGAGCCCCAGCCCCAGCCCCTGAATGCAACTTTTGTCTATGGAAAAGATCCTCAGTTTTCAAACCAAAGACCTCTAGCCTTGGACATGTTTTATCTGACATTAAAATTTCCTCATCTGATTTCATCTTTTGTGCAGTTCTTTCAATAATGTATATTAAAGCTGAAACCGAAAGAAAGCATTTAGAAAGAAATGGCAGGCTGGGGATGTAGCTCACTGGTAGAACACCTGCCTAGCATGCACAAGTCCCTGGGTGTGATCACTGGTACCACCAACAAAAATCAAATAGAAAGAAGTGACTAAAAAAAAAACAACAACAACAACTTTCTCCACCTACTTCTGTTTGCACTCACAGAAATGTACTTGCTGGCATTTTGTAAGAAAGTCCAGTGTTGCTGAGTGTGATGGCCCACACCTGTGATGCCAGAGACTTGTGGGGTTGAGGTAGGAGGAGTGCAAGTTCAAGGCCAGCCTCAGCAAGTTGGCAAGACCCTGCTGCAAAATAAAAATTAAAAAGGACTGTGAGTGTAGCTTAGTGCCTCTGGGTTCAATCTCCAGGATCATTAAGGAAAAAAAAAAAGAAGAAGAACAAGAACAAGAAAAAGATACTCACATAGTCTCACCAACGCAAAGATGGACTTTGTGATTTCAAAAGAAACTGAAGTTTCACATGATTCAGAAACCTTATATGGATAAAGACACAATCCTCCCACTTGAGGAGTTTCTGTACTGTGCAGGGCAGTTTCCAATGGATGAGTAAATCTCCTTTGAAGACATCACCACAGTCCTTGTCATATCCATCATCCTCTGCCTCAGTGAGCTGCTTGCTCCCAGAGGTGCTCTGTGAGCTGCAGCCATCGTGATTGACCCTCTCTGTGCTCATAGCTCCTCTGCTGAGTGTGATGCTGAGGAGGTGACTCTCCCTGGCTCTGGTGACCTATTTCCTGAGAGAGGCAAGAGCCTTCCAAGTCCTCCCCTCTGAGGGTGCCCATTACTTGCTTCAGCCCATGTGGTGTCAGGATGTTCCAAGTGCAGCTAATGCACTGCATCTTCAGACTGGCTCAGTCTGGACATTCCCCTGCTGCAGAGGCCATCTTTACCTTCTCATTTATTTATTTACCCATTTACATATGGCACTGGTAGCTGAACCCAGATTCTTGCACAAGGTAGGCAAATGTTCTATCCCTGAGTTAAATTCCCACACCCCCGGGGGATGGGGGATCAGTCTCTTTCTCTCTCTCTTTTTCCCTTTTTATTTATTAAGACAGGGCTCCCAAAGACTTGGGATGTTCCTGCCTCATCCTTCTGAGCTACTGGGATTACAAGCATTCGCCACCACTTCTGGCTGAATCTGTCTTTACAGCCTTCTCTTGTGGAATCCCTCCTCCAAATCCTTGCTCTGCCTTCTGAGTTCCTTTCTTTGTTTTCTCTTCCAGCTTACCACTGCATTTCTTACTTAGCTATGACCAAATTAGTGCTGAGCCCTTCTGCTACAATGTTCTGCTCAGCAGTGATATTTTAAACTTCTCCACACTCTCTTTTCTCCAGTTGCTCCTTTCCTGGACAATCCTTGCCTCCTCCTGGAAGACTCCTCCTGAATCTTTCTGAGGGACACTAGTTCCAAGTTTCCCAGTTGTAGAGGGGTGTAGTGGTGAATGCTGGTAATCCCAGTGACGGGAAGGCTGAGGCAGGAGGATCCCACATCCAGCACAGCCTTGGTGACTGAACTGTCTGAAACTTTGTTTAAAAGGGCTGGGGGTGTGGCTGGGCGTTAGAGCATCCCCAGGCTCTATCTCGGGTATGAAAAACAAAATAAGTAGTTTCCCAGTTGTCTGCTCTCCGTGGATTATCTGGGCTTCCTCTGTGGTCAGCTGACCTCCCTGCAACAGACCCTCTGATGAAGGCCCGAGTTCTCCTGGAACATTCTCCATCCTCCTTGTTGGGCCGTCCAGGGCCAACTCAGCAGGAGCAGGGTGTTCCAATCCAGCACAGTCCAAGCAAAGCACTGGCCCTTGAGCAGCTCTGGGGAGACCACAGGCGCCCTTGGATGGTCCTTCTTGAGGAGTGTCCCTGCAAACTTGGAGGATGGTGCCACTCCGGGTCCCACTAACAGTGGGATTCCCCGAGGGGCTTGGACCACATGGCACCATTGGACTGGTGCAGGGGCTCGAGACTGAGTAACCAAGGTTCCCACCTGGGCATCTCATGCCTCCCTGACCACGCCTCAGTACAGCCCTGGTGACCAGAAGCTGCTGTCTTCCCTTGTGGCACTCCTTCGGGCCAGCAGTCTCAGGTCCACTCTGGGAGAATTCAGCCCTGTCCACTGGCCTCTGCTGGGGAACACATCTGGAGAGAGGCTCACGCTTGTGTCCTCACCCAGGAGCACACTGACTCTTCTGAGTTCTATGGGACCCGATGGGGACTCTCTGACCCAGGGGGTGTTGGTGCTGATGCCTGGCTGGCTGTCCACTCACAAGTGGGACTGGTACACTGACCCCACTCCCACAGGAAGCAGAGGCCCTGGAGGCCCGGGCAGTTGTGTGAGGCCCACTGCAGGCAGCAGGCAGAGAAGGAGCTCGAGCCCTGTGCATGGTCGCAGCCCAGCTCCGTGGCTGCAAAGGAGCAGCACCTTTTGCAGGAGGGGCCACACTGCTGACTCCAGATCAGCCTGCCAGGAGGAGGTGCTAGTGGGCTTCCCGGGGGGCTCCTGGCTGAGGGCCATGTCCTTGTTCCTGGGGGAGTTGTGGGTGGGGGAAAGAGGGCATCAGAGGAGGCAGCCAGCGCTCATGGGCTGCAGACAAGAAAGGGGTGTTGGGGTTCACTGGCTGCAGCACCACATCAAGACGTGTGCCAGCTGACCAACTCCTGTAGGAGCAGAAGGCACTGTGGTCCCCAAGGATCCCTTGGTTCCAGGGAGCTCATCTGGGTGAAGGTGGTGGCCAGGGCTTCCAGCCTGCTGCCTCTCCCGCAGGGGGCGCCGGCAGGATCTGGAGCGGAGCTGCAGGGAGCCCAGGGGGCGCCAGGTTGCAGAAGAGGCCATGGGCGAGAGGAGCTGCCCACTTCTGCCGCCGCTGCTGCTGCTGGCGCTGCTGTGGCGCCCGGGACTGGAGAAGCAGGGTGAATTCAGGGGGCGCTGCTGGCAGGGCGGGGCGACGGGGGCCGCGGGCATCGTGGAGGTCAGGGGCGCTCACCTCCTGGCCTCCACGCAGACTCGCAGGAAGAGAACCCGCAGGCAGGTAAGGCGCCCCCGACGAGCCCCCTGCGTGGTGCGCGGGCGTCGGATGCAGAGGACGGTGCGAGGACGCCTCATCTCTCCCTCTCCTCCGCCTCAGGTCCCATGAGCACCCTGCTGCTCTCAAGTAACGGCCGGGCCCTGGGGAGGGGCGGGTGGGTGCGTCCCCAGAGCCCCCCCACCCCATCCAGCGGTGGGCCTGCCCCGCGAGCTCACTGCGTATCTGCCCTGTGGCCGCCGGGAGGTCCGCCCTCTGATCGTGGGCGGAGTGGAGTCCTCGCGCGGGCGCTGGCCGTGGCAGGCCCTGGTGCGTGTGCGCAATGTCAAGACGTGCGGAGGGAGCCTGCTCAGCCGCCGCTGGGTGCTGGGCGCACTGCTTCAGAAGGTGAGTCTGGTGTCCACAAGGGACAGAAACCTCTCTTCCTGCAGAGGGTGCGCCTTGCCTTCTTGCAACCTCATCTGAGCCCCAGTCTCTGCTGTAACAGTCACACTACAGCCTTCTCTGCTGGTTCCCCTGGAGCCAAGGCCACTCTAGTGCTCCCAGAGTGCTCTTCTACACTTCCATGCACCTCGAGGTGTATTGCACGTTTTTTTTTTTTTCTCAACCCAAATGTACTATTGTCCATATCCACTTGTAAAGTATACAAGGCTGTCGCACACCTTTAATGCCAACAGCTGAGGAGGTTGAGGCAGGAGGATGGCGAGTTCAAAGTCAGCCTCTGCAACTTAACCAGGTCCTAAGCAACTTAGCAAGACCCTGTCTCTAAATAAACTACAATAAAGTGCTGGGGATGGGGTTCAGTGGCTAAGTGCCTCTGGATTCAATCCTAGGTACAAAAACAAAACAAAACAACAGCAATACAAAGTATAGATACCAGAAGTGTAGGAGACATGGGCTGATGTGGGGCCAGTGCTGGTCACCACCCTGCCCTGTGGAGCTCTCCCCAGACCAGATGTGTGACTTCATCCTGCCTGAGGCCCAACACTGACCCCCACATCTGCTTAATCATTTATGACTGCATAAGCATCCCCAGAAAAACTGGGATGAATTGCTTTGTCCTTAAGATAGCTCTGGGAGGTGACAAGACCCCCTGGGAGTGTGTGGAGCCACTTTCTTGCTTCTCCCTCCACAGTGCTCTGGTCCTGCCTGTCTAGGCTCTGTGGCTTCTATAGAAGGCCTTGGGACCATAAGAAGGACTTGCCATGGACACTAATGGTGTCCATAATGAGGAAGTAGTAGCAGCCCCACAGCATCACCCCAGCCCAGGTGTGCTCAGATGGCCAGGCCCCCTTCCCCGGGCCCTGGAGGTCGCTCTCTTCTCCCCTGCCAGGTTCTCTCGTGCTTCCAGGTGGATAGTCCAGCTTGGTGAGCTGACTCTCCGCCAATCTTTCTGGAGCCTGCAGGCCCACCGAAACCGGTACAGAGTGAAGGACATCATTGTGAACCCCCAGGCTAGAGGGAAGTTCCATGACATCGCCCTGCTGAGGCTGGCCTCCTCGGTCACCTACAGCAAGTACATCCAGCCCGTCTGTGTCCTATCTTCTACCTTCATGTTCCTGCACCGGTCTGACTGCTGGGTGACTGGTTGGGGAGTCATCCATGAGAATATGGGTAAGGTTGGGGACAGAGGGCTGGGCTGGGCACTATCCTCATCCCATTTAGCCACCAGGTCCAGCTGCCCCTCCTGGACCTGGGCACCCGCTCAGCATTCTCTCCTCAGGGGCTGCCCTCCTCTTGCTCCCACTGCAAGGGCAGGAAGACAGGCTCTGTCCCCTTCCCTTGCAGACATGTGTGGGCCAGAAGGCAGGGGTACAAGGGGGGCCGGCTTGGCATGTGCCTTTGCTAGCCAGTAGGGGTGGCAGGCTCAGGACAGCCTCCTGCCAAGGGCCTCTGCCGTTAACTTCCTTCCACTGTGATTTAGTTCACAAACCCAAACTTATAGCCAGCAGTGGCGAAGCAGGCTGTTCAGAGATCTGCGGGGCGTTCCCAAAGCTGTGCGGCCATCCTGGCACCCTCTACCTCAGAACAGCTCCATCTCAGCAGGAGTCCCCGCCCTCCTTGATCATTCCTCTCCGTGCCTGGTGGCCTGGGCTCATTGCCCCTGGCAACCACCGCCTGCCCAAACCACCACCTGCCCTCTGCCTGCATGGATTGCCTGCTCTGGACATTCCTTGCCAACGCAGCCACAGAGCGTGTGGCCTTTTGCATCTGCTTCTTGCACGTGCTGTCGTGTCTCCCAGGGTCGTCCCGTTTGCGTGTCCCTCAGTCCTGCATCCCTCTTTTTTCCTTTCCTTCCTTCCTTTCTTTCTTTTTCTTTTCTTTTTTTAAAAAATATTTAATTATTTATTTATTTGGCAGACACAACAGCTTTGTTTGTATGTGGTGCTGAGGGTCGAACCCGGGCCGCACGCATGCCAGGCGAGCGCGCTACCGCTTGAGCCACATCCCCAGCCCTCTTTCTTTTTCTTTTCTTTCCTTCTTTTATTTTTTTGGTATAATTCACAGAACATCAAATGAGCCACTTAACGTGTGAAGATGCACAGCTTGGCGTATTCAGCATATTCATGACACTGTACAAGGGAGGACTCCATGGGAGACCTCCATGCCACCAAGCTGTGGCTCCACGTGGGGCCCTCCCTGCAGTCCCAAGAGCCACCAGCCAGACTTCTCCTCTGCCTTGGCTTCTTCTAAGTATCCAGAGAAATGTCCCCTGCTCTGGCCTCTTTTGTCATCCACGCGATAGCCCGGGTCTGAGCGTCAGGGCTTCTTGGGGACCATGAACGTTCCACTTCGGGCACATTCGTTTAGACCACAGTCCTCATCCCTTCATTCACTGATGGACACTTGGGGTTTTGACCTGCTGAGTGATGTCGCTGCAGTGGCTGTGAGCACACACGCACACTTTCGTTTGATGACTCTTTTCAGGTATCATTGGGGCTGCGGTTGCTGGACCACGTGGTGATTCTCTGTTGGACCTGTGGAGCTACCGGCAGTGCCCAGCAGCAACTCCTTCACATTCCTGTTAATATGTTTGCTGACATGCATTATCGTCATGGTTTCTTCTCTTTTCCTTTTTAGTTCTGAGGTCCTCAAGCATGCCAGGCAAGTGCTCTACTGCTCAAGCACACCCCCTCCCCATTTTCCACTCTTTAAATTTGGCTGTCCTTGTGGGTGGGATGTGGTGCCTCAATATGATTTTACTTATGTTTCTCTAGTGACAAATGACATTGAGCTTCTTCCATGTGCTCACTGATGTGTTCTATATCCCTAGGAAAACTAGCTTTATGAATCCTTTGCCCATTACTAATGGGGTTGTCTTTGATTGAGTCATAATGCTGTTCTGTTCTAGGTAGACCTTTATTGAAAATATGATTTGAAAAATACATTCTCCCATTATCTGGATTTTCTTTTCACTTTTTTTTAATTAATTTTTTTTAGTTGGACACAATACCTTTATTCCATTCATTTATTTTTGTGTGGTACTGAGGATCGAACCCAGGGCCCTGCACATACTAGGCAAGTGCTCTACCGCTTTTTTCACTTTCTTGGTAATGTTTTTCAATATACCAAAATCTTTTTTTTTTTTTAATATTTATTTATTTATTTTTCGGTGGACACAATATCTTTGTTTGTATGTGGTGCTGAGATCGAACCCGGGCCGCACGCATGCCAGGCGAGCGTGGTACCACTTGAGCCACATCCCCAGCCCCCCAAAATCTTAATATTGATGAAATCCAAATTATTTATTTATTCTTTTGTTTTTATTAGTACATTATAATTATAAATAGTGGGGTTCATTTTGACTTATTCACAAATGCATATAATATAATTTGTCTTCCTTTGTTGCTTGTACTTTTGGAATTTTATCTTTTTTTTTTTTTTCCCTGTACTGAGGATTGAACTGGGGGCATTCTACCAATATGCTACCTCCCCCAGCCCTATTCTTTTTTTTAACTTTCTTTCTTTTTTTTTCTCTCTCCATTTTTTTTTTTTTTTTTTTTTGTGGCAGTGCCTTGCCAAAGTGCTGAGGCTAGGCTCAGACTTGTGATCCTCTGGCCTCAGCCTCTGGAGTCATAGGGATTACAGGCGTGTGCTACCGCACCCAGGTTTTGGTGTTATATCTGCAACAACATTGTCAGATCCAGAATCCTGAACATTTACATATTGACCCCTATGTTTTCTTTTGTAGTTTTAGCTCTTATATTCATGATTTTGATTCATTTTGAGCTGAGGCTTGCACATGACGAGAAGTAGAGGTCCAGTTTTACTCTTCCTTGTGGTTAGCCAGTTGTCCAAGCACCATTTGTTAAATACCACTGAACTTTGATTGAACCTTGTGAAAAATCAATCCTCCTTAGATGTGTTGGTTTATCTCCAAGACTCACATTTCTTTTACACTGGTCTATATGTCTGTCTTTATGCAATCAAACAGGACGGTGCTATTAAATTCATGTAGCTTCACAGTATGTTTTGAAATCAGGAAGTGAGTCATTCAACTTTGTTCTATTTTTTTCAATATTATTTTAATTACTTAGGGCTCCTGGATATTCTGGTAAATTTTAGAGGCAGGCTGTCAATATCTTTAAAAAAGCCACTGATAATAGACTTAAAAATAACAACCATATGATCATCTCGATAGATGCGGAAAAAGCATTCAACAAAGTACAGCATCCCTTTATGTTCAAAACTCTAGAAAAACTGGGGATAACAGGAACATACCTCAATATTGTAAAAGCAATCTATGCTAAGCCTCAGGCTAGCATCATTCTGAATGGAGAAAAATTGAAGGCATTCCCTCTAAAATCTGGAACAAGACAGGGATGCCCTCTCTCACCACTTCTGTTCAACATAGTTCTCGAAACACTGGCCAGAGCAATTAGACGAAAGAAATTAAAGGCATAAAAATAGGAAAAGATGAACTTAAATTATCACTATTTTCAGATGACATGATTCTATACCTAGCAGACCCAAAAGGGTCTACAAAGAAACTATTAGAGCTAATAAATGAATTCAGCAAAGTGGCAGGATATAAAATCAACACGCATAAATCAAAGGCATTCCTGTATATCAGCGACAAATCCTCTGAAATGGAAATGAGGACAACCACTCCATTCACAATATCTTCAAAAAAAATAAAATACTTGGGAATCAACCTAACAAAAGAGGTGAAAGACTTATACAATGAAAACTACAGAACCCTAAAGAGAGAAATAGAAGAAGATCTTAGAAGATGGAAAAATATACCCTGTTCATGGATAGGCAGAACTAACATCATCAAAATGGCGATATTACCAAAAGTTCTCTATAGGTTTAATGCAATGCCAATCAAAATCCCAACGGCATTTCTTGTAGAAATAGAGAAAGCAATCATGAAATTCATATGGAAAAATAAAAGACCCAGAATAGCAAAAACAATGCTAAGCAGGAAGTGTGAATCAGGCGGTATAGCGATACCAGACTTCAAACTATACTACAGAGCAATAGTAACAAAAACAGCATGGTACTGGTACCAAAACAGGCGGGTGGACCAATGGTACAGAATAGAGGACACAGAAACCAATCCACAAAACTACAACTATCTTATATTTGATAAAGGGGCTAAAAGCATGCAATGGAGGAAGGATAGCATCTTCAACAAATGGTGCTGGGAAAACTGGAAATCCATATGCAACAAAATGAAACTGAATCCCTTTCTCTCGCCATGCACAAAAGTTAATTCAAAATGGATCAAGGAGCTTGATATCAAATCAGAGACACGCCGTCTGATAGAAGAAAAAGTTGGCTATGATCTACATTCTGTGGGGTCGGGCTCCAAATTCCTCAATAGGACACCCATAGCACAAAAGTTAATAACTAGAATCAACAAATGGGACTTACTCAAACTAAAAAGTTTTTTTCTCAGCAAAAGAAACAATAAGAGAGGTAAATAGGGAGCCTACATCCTGGGAACAAATCTTTACTCCTCACACTTCAGATAGAGCCCTAATATCCAGAGTATATAAAGAACTCAAAAAATTAGACAATAAGATAACAAACAACCCAATCAACAAATGGGCCAAGGACCTGAACAGACACTTCTCAGAGGAGGACATACAGTCAACAACAAGTACATGAAAAAATGCTCACCATCTCTAGCAGTCAGAGAAATGCAAATCAAAACCACCCTAAGATACCATCTCACTCCAGTAAGATTGGCAGCCATTATGAAGTCAAACAACAACAAGTGCTGGCGAGGATGTGGGGAAAAGGGTACACTTGTACATTGCTGGTGGGACTGCAAATTGGTGCAGCCAATTTGGAAAGCAGTATGGAGATTTCTTGGAAAGCTGGGAATGGAGCCACCATTTGACCCAGCTATTCCCCTTCTCGGTCTGTTCCCTAAAGACCTAAAAAGAGCATGCTACAGGGACACTGCTACATCCATGTTCATAGCAGCACAATTCACAATAGCAAGACTGTGGAACCAACCTAGATGCCCTTCAATAGACGAATGGATAAAAAAAAAGTGGCATTTATACACAATGGAGTATTACTCTGCATTAAAAAATGACAAAATCATAGAATTTGCAGGGAAATGGATGGCATTAGAGCAGATTATGCTAAGTGAAGCTAGCCAATCCCTAAAAAACAAATGCCAAATGTCTTCTTTGATATAAGGAGAGTAACTAAGAACAGAGTAGGGTCGAAGAGCATGAGAAGAAGATTAACATTAAACAGGGATGAGAGGTGGGAGGGAAAGGGAGAGAGAAGGGAAATTGCATGGAAATGGAAGGAGACCCTCAGGGTTATACAAAAGTACATACAAGAGGAAGTGAGGGGAAAGGGAAAAATAATACAAGGGGGAGAAATGAATGACAGTAGAGGGGGTAGAGAGAGAAGAGGAGAGGGGAGGGGAGGGGAGGGGGGATAGTAGAGGATAGGAAAGGCAGCAGAACACAACAGACACTAGTATGGCAATATGTAAATCAATGGATGTGTAACTGATGTGATTCTGCAATCTGTATATGGGGTAAAAATGGGAGTTCATAACCCACTTGAATCAAAGTGTGAAATATGATATATCAAGAAATTTGTAATGTTTTGAACAACCAACAATAAAAAATTAAAAAAAAGTCACTGATATTTGGATCAGGATTGCATTAAATTGTGGTTGTTTTAGGGTGCACTGCCATATTAATGCATCTAAAATCATCAACATACAAACATCCATTTATTTGCACCTTCTTTCATTGCCTTCAGCAAAGATTTGCAGCTTTTTGTATGCAAGTCTTAGACCTCATCAGTTAGTTTACTCATTTTTTTTTTCTTTTGATACTCTTGTAAATGGAATGTTTTCTTAATTTCCTCTTTGGAGTGTTCATTGTTAGTATAAAGGAACATAAATGACTTCTTTTTCAGTGTTTGGATTGAACCTAGGGAGGCCTTACTCTGAGCTAAATCCCAGGCCATTTTTCTTTTATTCTGAGGCAGGGCCTCACTAAGTTGCTGAGGCTGGCGCCTTACTTGCAATCTTCCTGCCTCTGTTCTCCTGAGTTGTGCTGGTTTACAGGCATGTGCCCAGCACACCAAGGATTTTTGAATGTTGAGTCTGTATCCTGCACTGTATATTTGTTCATTAGCTCTAGAAGGTGTTTATTTACACTATTTCTACATATAAGGTCATGTCATTTGGGAATGGAGATCATTTTTTTCCTTTTTTTTTCTGATTGGGTTACCTTTTCTTTCTTGCTTGCTTAATTGTTCTTGTGAGAAATCCCAGTACTATGTGAATAGAAGGGTGGAATCAGGCAACCTTGCTTTGTTCTTGGTCTTAGAGGAAAAACTGTCTAGTTTTTCACTCTTGAGCAAGACTTTCACTGCTGGCTTCTCGTTACAGGGCTTCGGTTGTGTTGGCAGGTCCCTTCCGTTCCTTGTTTGTGGAGTGTTTTCATCATGAAAGGGCACTAAATTTTGTCAATGCCTTTTCTGTGCCTATTAAGGCAATCCTGTGTTTTCTTCCTTGTTCTATTATGTAGATGCCATCCCGAGTTCTAAATGTAGGCCCAGCCGTCCTCTGGAAGGAGTCCTATAGAGCAGGCTTTGCTCGTGTTCTGGTGAAGATTTCCACTAGTGCTTTCCGAAGGGGGAGATGGCGTCCCAGTTTTCTCTTTTGTTGCTGTGGCGTTGTCTTTGTGGCTGGTGTAAGGCTCACGCTGGCCTCGGGGGAGGAGCAGGGCAGTGTTTCCCTCAGTTCTGTCATGGGGAGAGCTCAGGAAGGGTTGGTGTCAGTTCTTCTTAGATGTTGATAGAATTCACCAGTGAAGCTGCCCGACCCTGAGCTTTTTTTCATTGGGAGATTTTTGATTACTGATCCGATCCCTATTCATTATATAAATAACACATGTTCAGATTTTCGATTTCTTCTTGAGCCTTTTCTGGTGTTCTGTGACTTCCTGGGGATCATTCTGCTGCCTCCAGATCATCTCTGTTCTCTTGTCATCCTTTCTGTTTCTGTAGGGTCAGTACTACTGGCCCCACTTTTATGGTACTTCCTGCTTGCTTCTCTTTTTGGTTTCATTGGTCTTTTCTACATATCCAACTTCTCATTTCCTTCTTCCCGGTGGCTTTAGTTTGTGCTTCTTTATCCAGCTCCTTACCATGTAACCCTGGGCCGCTGATCCAAGATTTCCCTCTTTTATTAGGTAGGCATGGACAGCTCTTGTTGCCCTCTCCAAGCACTTTTGCTATGTCTGGGGTCTATCCTAGTGTTACCTGTGGTTTCCTCTTTACCCAGGGGTCATTTAAGAGACTGTTGTTTAACACCCACAGGTATGGGAATTATTTGGTCTTGTTGTTGCTGATTTCTGGCTGCATTTCCTCCTGGGAATTCCCAGGGAAGATGTGTTGTTTGGTATCAGTGTTTTCCAACTCACCGACCTACTGCATGTCATGGAGACAGTTGCACACACACCTCAGGAAAATGTATATTCTGTTGGTTTTTTTGGATGGTCTGTACTGTATATTTCTGTGATATACTTGGTTTATGGTGTTGTTCACATTTTCTATTTTTATTGATCTCTCTGCTTTTCCCATCCATTATTAAAGGCAGAAAATTAGAGCATCCAACTATTAATATGCAACTTTCTGTTATTCCCACCAATTCTGTCAATTTTGCTTTATATATTTTTGGGTTCTATTATTAGGTATATGGATGTTAATAATTGCCATTTTTTTAAGGATTGGTATCTTTTATCAATATGTAATTTCCTTCTTTGACTTTGTAACAAGTGTTGATTTAAAGTTCACTTGGCTGATCTAGTTTAGCAGCCTTAGCTCTCTTGGTTATTATTTGCATGAAATCTCTGTTGCTAACCTTTAGCCTTTATATGTCCTTGAATCTAAAGTGAACCTGTGTAGATGGTGTACAATTGGACTGTGATTCTAAATCATTCTGCCTATCTGCTTTCTACATGGAGCATCTAATCCCTGCACATAAGGAGTAATTACTGACCAGGAAAGACTTGCTTCTATTTTTTGTTTGTTTGTTTTGTATATCTTATATATATATAATTATATCTATAGCTATCTCTTATATCTTCTCTCTCTCTCCTCTGTCTCTGTCTCTCTCTCTCTCTCAGTACTGGACATGGAACTCAGTGGTGCTCTACCACTGAGTTACATTCCAAGCCCTCTTGATTTTTTATTTTGAGACAGGGCCTCACTAAGTTGCTTGAAACTGGCCTCAAACTTATGATTTTCCTGCCTCAGCCTCCTAAGTAGCACCACCAAATTGTTTTTTATTTCTTTTTTGTTTTCATTTATTTAAATGATTTACTAGGATATCATATTGGTTTTCTTCTCTTTTTTAAATATATTTTTTTAATTTGTAGATGGACACATTACCTTTATTTTATTTATTTATTTTTATGCAGCGCTGAGAATTGAACCCAGTGCCTCATAAGTGCTAGGCAAGTACTCTACCACTGAGCCACAACCCCAGCCCTCTTCTCGTTTCCTTATATTTTTCAATTATTTTATTAGTGGTTGCCCTGGGCATTACAATTTGTATCTCAAACTTGTAACAATATCTATTGAATTAATACCAATTTAGCCTCAATAGTACAAATAAATCTCGGTTCTTGGATAGATTTATTCCTTCACTTTATGTTTTTCTTATCATAATTTATGTCTTTATGCAGAACATTAACATGAATTTACAATTATTGCCTTATGCATTTGCCTTTTTTTTTTTTTTTCAGGGCTGGGGATTGAGCGCAGGGCATGCTAGGCAAGTGCTACATGCCAGCCCCACAGGTTTGTATTTTACATTGGCTAAGAAACAAAGAAGAGTCATTAACCAAAAATACAATAAGACTGGCTTTTCTATTTTCCAGTGCATTTTCCTTCAAAGCTGTTCTTTCTTTCCTTGGATGACTTTGGGCTACTGTCTGGTGTCCTCCTTTCATTTCAGCCTCAAACCCCCCTTTTCCATTTCCTATGAGAATTGATCTACTCGTGATGAATCCTGATGTAGTTTATCTGAGAATGTCTTCACTTCTCCTTCGTTTCATGAAGGAGAGCTTTATATGATAGAGAATTCTTGTATGACCATTTAACCCACCCTCTTTGACTTTGAAATGTGTCTTTCCACTGCTTTCTGCCCTCCATGGTTTCTGTTGATTTTATTGATGGTCCCTTAAAGTGATGCCTTGCTTCTCTCTGGCGGTCTACATGTCTGTCTTTGTCTTAACAACCTCATCACAACGTGTCTCAGTGTGGATCTTTGTGTTTACCCAAATTGGAGCTTGTGTAGCCTCTTGTATTTGTAGTTTCATGCCTTTCATCAAGTTTTGTATTTTTCCTTCTGGATCCTGCAGCCCCAAATTATCTCAGCCTCCTTAAGTTCCACACTCTCTGTGTTTTTGTGGGGAATCTCTCCACTGGTGCACTTGGGACTTTCTTCTGCATTTTAAAAATTAGGAAACCAAGTTTTGGTGGAGCTGCAAAACAAGCCCATCCATTGGGTCCTTCTGTGATAGTGCTGATAGCCTATGATGTGAGGTGATCATCAGGGACCTCCCCACTGCTACAAGATGTGTCCTGCATCCTGCTCTGCTCCAGATGGCAGAGGAGAGGTTGAGTTTGCTTTCTGTCTCTGTCCTACCCCAGTACCTCTGCCACCCCCCTACCGCCTCCGGGAAGTGCAGGTCACCATCCTCAACAACAGCAGGTGCAGGGAGCTGTTCGAGTTGCTCTCTCAGCGCAGCTCCATCAGTTTCAACATGCTTTGTGCTGGTGCTGAGAATGGCAGCAGGGATACCTGCCACGTGAGTGCCCACCCCATGAGGAAATCATACCCACCCTGCCCCAGGCCTGAGAGCAGGCTCCGAGCCCCCACCAGCCCACACCTGGAGTAAAGCAATGGCAGTCCTTACTCACCAGCCTACAAAACATACTGCTCATTCTCCACTGGTGGTGCCTCCTCCCACACCTGGTCAGCCCCTGGAGGTAGAGACTGAGGCCCCACTTTGCAGATGCAGAAACTGAGGCTCTTCTCTGCTGGGGAGCAGGGAATAGGACTCACACCCCTCCTGCCAGCTGCACTGCCACCCTGCTCCCCCAGCCTCTCTGCAGGCTCCACCCACCTGCCCTGGTTGGGCTCACCCAGGCTTCTCCCCAGGGTGACTCAGGAGGACCCTTAGTCTGCGACCTGGAAGGGCTGTGGTATCAGATTGGAATTGTGAGCTGGGGAGTGGGTTGTGGTCGACCCAACCGGGCTGGAGTCTACACCAATGTCAGTTGGCGCTTCGGGTGGCTCTGTCACTGATGTCCCACAGTGCACCCAGGCCAGATGCCTCCCTGATGCCGCTATTCCTCTCTACACTCAGGTCTCTGCAACTCCTGGAGTTGGCTGAGTCCACTTGGCCTGTGTGAGCACCACAGTGCTTATACAGTCACCTGGGCTGCGGACACTCAGAGTCAGGTGGGGACAGCCTGCTGGACCAGGCTGCGGTCCCTTTCTGACCCATTTGCTAATAAACACAAGTGCATGCCTGAATTTGTGCTCTGCAGAGCTTTCTTTGGACCCAGTGGCTTCCTGATCAACTGTCTGGGTTCACCCATGACCAGTCCAGCCCAAGACCTGTCTCTAACTCCTAACCCTTATACAGGATTTGGAGAGAGCTGAACCCTCACCAGCTAGTTCAATCAGAAAGACGACTTGTGGAAAGGCCCAGGGTGTCTGGGGCAGGGAGTCTGCAGTAGGGCGCAGGGAGCAAACACTCCTGATCGAGGACCCCTATCTCAGAGTGCCCCATTACCCAAGTGCCAGATGCTCTCGCCCATGATTCCCCAAAGGCCAACCTAAGACCAGGACTTGGTGCAGATAGTTTATTTGGGATGTGACCTCAGGAAGCACAGGTGAGGAAGTGGGGAAACTGAGGCAGGGAAGCACAGAGTTTGTACAAAAGGGTGGTTCCCATTGTGGGTAACTGCAGCACTGGCCCACTGAGGACAAGGTCAGCAGGGCTGGCATTCCTCCTGACCCCCAAAGCACAGCGTGGTCCCGAGGGCATGAGATTCTCCAGCGCAGGAGCTGACTCCAGCTGAGGCTGTCAGTCAGAGCTTCACCTGCTGTGGCGGAAAGTGGTGGGGGTGGGAAAGTGGGAAGGCACCCACCCTGTCTGCACCCCACAGGCCCGCCTCGCATGGCCAAGGGACCAGTTCACCAGGCAGCCTTGGTGGGGGGTCTCTAGCTTATTCAAGCAGAGTGGGTCTTGCAAAATCCTCAAATGCTGTGAGCACAGAAGATAGATATGCTCTGGCCAGCTTCCTCCCTCCTGGTGCCACCCCCAGCCCCACTTCCTGGAAAATGTACCTCTGACGCACATGTTCCTGTCACCTGTGAGCCTAGGAGGAAGGTTGGAGAGGGCTTCTGGGCAGGGGTCCACTACCTTGCTGTCCTTCTGCCTTATGGGTCTGCATCACTTAGTGGGCAGTATTGAGAGCCACAGCCGAAAGGGGCCCCAGCAAACTTCCAGCTGCCAGCAAACTTCTAGCTGCCAGCAAACTTCCAGCTGCCAGCTGATGATTGGCTCACAGCGCCGGAGCAACTTCTAGCTGCCAACTGATTGGCTCCTCTGCGGTGATGCTCATTGGGCTGTTTCCCGCCCTTTCAGACCACGGAGCTGCTCATTGGGGGACTTTTTTTGGCTCCGCCAACGTGACCCAGCCAATCGGCCTCATGAGCAGGAGGAGGGGGGAGGTTGAGAGGCTTGTGGGAAGCCGGTGGTGGCAGTTGGGCTCTGAAGGTTTTTCCTGAGGAGCTGTGTGGTTTGGTGTGTGGTTCTAAAAATAAAGTTCGTTTCTTTTGACAAGTGGCTCCTGAATTGTGCCCAGCCAGACTGCGGCAGGGCAGTTGAGCTGAGGTGGGTGGGTTGGCCAGTCCCCCTCAATTGCAGCCGGGAAGGTGCTTTGTCCCTCTGAGTTCTGGGGTGTCATGCATGGGGCAGGCAGGGGAGTCCCTGTTCGGAGAGGAGGAAGATGCAGCAGGTAGGAAGTGCTGGGTACAGATCAGAAGGCAGCTCCTGAGGTGTGATTGGAGTCACGGGGCTGATTCCAGAGAGAGGAGATGAGCCAGGGGCCCTGTCAGGTCTGGGGACTTCTGGATGGCATTGAGCAGTGGACTAGAGAGAAAACTGGCCAGAGGGAACAACTCAGAAGTAAAAGGTGGATCACAAACCCAACTGACCCTGTGGTATTGGGAGGAGCCCGACACCACATGCTGCTGAGATGTCTGAAAGGGTGGGGCCTGGAGAAGGAGAATCCTTCTGAGCCTGGCCATAGCTCGGTGGATTGTCCAGCAGGGCACAGGTGAACGGTGGCCCAAGGGAACTTGTCAGAGAGGAAAGGCAGTTCCACAGCCTGGCACCCCACCCCCAGCGGAAGGGGTTGCCTCTTTTTAGCCCCTGCCCCCCCCCCCCACTGCTTGGCTAGGGCACCTCAACTCCCAAGTACAGAGGCCAGCTCTGAGTTGAATGTTAGAGTCTCCTCAATTTGTAACTTCTGATGTGACATAAGGGGGTGCCCTTTGGAGGTGATCGGGTGCTGGTGAGGTCATGAGGGAGAGGCCCCAGGTTGAGGCTAGGACTCTTATAAGAAGAGGTCCTAACCTCAGAACACTCCTCAACCGCCCTCCTCTTGGCCAGACAAGAACACAGGGAGACGGCAGCTGTCAACCAGCCAGGAAGCGACCATCACCAAGAACCCAACCCAAGGAACCTTCACCTTAGACGTCCAGCCTCCAAAACAACTGGCTGGAGCCTGGCCGTCTAAGGTGTTCTTGTAAGGCTGCCTGAGCTCATTAGGACTCCACGTGGGCGCTGGCAGCCCCGCAGCCCCATTTGAAATTTGAATGTATTTTAATTTTTTTAAAAAAATTTAATACCTGTACTAATGGGATTTTAGTTACACCAAAGATTAGGCAAAATGTGTGCCTGGAGGTCCAGTTAGTGTTGAGTTTTGCTGGGGAGGATAGATAAAATGCCCAGCAGGTAGGGAGGTGCCCACGTGAACGTGAGTGGTGCTGTTGCAGGGTCCCAGGGACGCATGGTGGAATCGCCTCCCACTCCCCGACTCCTCGAAGCCTTCCTGGGTAGGGGCCTCATTCCCCAGCAGCAGCCACTCAAGGGAAGTCCACACACGAAGGCCAGCCTCTGCCCTCGCCCACGAGTTCCCATCCCCTTCCCAGCAGCCTCTTCTGGGAAGAGGCTGAGAAGCGATGGGCTGAGGGTGCATGGAGAAGCCAGTTCCCAGCTTGACCCCAGAAAGTTCAGTCTGTCCCAGGACCAGAGCTAGGGACCCAGGCTCCCGCTTCAAGTGAGGCTGGGACTTTCTGTAGAGGACGAGCCTGACCCTTGGACTGAAGTTCTGACCTGCTGTGCTCAGAGGGGTCCCCCCAAGCCCCACTCCAGGAGGGTAGGAAGGCCAGGCCTATGTGATCTAATCCAACTGCTGACATACAAGGCCCCCCAGCCCAGGGTCCACCTCTCTGGAAGGAGAAGGCTTCATTGTTCCCTTTCCTGGCAGAGTGCAAACTGGGGCGTACCCAGTACATGGAATAAATGCTCAGTAAATCCCCCTCTTGGGGAGCCCTTATCCCAAGGGACAAAGGGCTGTGTTGAGCATCTGTGAGAATAGGCTCAGGGCCAGCACTCAGGCCTAGGTGGCTGGAGGATTCAGGGTGAGGTTGATTCAGAATGGTGACCTCCCACCTGTGCACACAAAGAGCTGACACATGTGCCTCCTCCTGTGTATAACAGCAAGTGTACCGCGTGTGTTCCTGCACTGCCCAGCGTGGGTGTGCACGTGAGTCTGTTGCCACACCTGCCTACTCTGTGTAAATGTGCCTTGTGGGTGCCGTTGGGCATGTCCTCCCTCCGGCCAGGCTGCCAACTGCCTCTTCCAATTCCCCACTTCCCTGGGTGGTGCTTCCTGGAGTCCTGGCCCAGACAGACCTTCTCCTGGTGCCAAATCCTTCTAGAAGGCATTGGAACAGGCAGCAAACCTGCAAAAATGCCTTCAGGCTGGGCTGGGACAGAACACAAGCCGCCTTTGTGTGGTTTCCAGGCCCCTGTCTCCAAGAGCTCTGCCGCCGCCAAGGGTTCTGGCTCCTCCACCTACCGAAGGCCCCCCCCCCAGCCTTGGCAGGGGGCCACTACCCTCCCCGACCCAGCCTATCCTGCATCTGCACGCCAGAGGGTCACCGCGAGGACAGGTAGGATTGGGATCAGAGGGGACCTGAATCCCACCAAGCATCCCCAGGCAGACAGTGCAGGGGCCAGAACCAAGGGCTCCAAAGGCTGGTTGGCACAGTCACCTTTACTTCACCTATTTAGTCCCAACTGTGACGGCTGTGTTTGTTCCAGGGTGCGGCATGGGTGTCCATTACGGGTAGGCAGACAGTGTGTGTAGGGCCAGATAGTGCAGTCCTGGGCTTTGTGGGCTGAGGGTCCCTGCCACAAGCCCTCTGAGCTACCTGGGCGGCCGGCGAGGGACAGGGTGCAGCTTCCTGCCCTGATGCTTCCTCTGTGGACAGTGGCGCGGGCTTGCACAACATGTTTATGTGCCACAAAACATTGCTGTTTTGAATTTTTTTTTAAATTTTTAGATGTTAATGAACCTTTATTTTATTCATTTATTTATATGTGGAGCTGAGAATCCAACCCAGTGCCCCACACATGCTAGGCAAGCGCTCTACCACTGAGCCACAACCCCAGCCCTCTCTTTTGAATTTTTTCTGATGGTTTTAACATGTGAAAAGCATTCTTAGCTCAAAAACAGGTGGTGGGCTGGTTTGGCCTGACAGCCATAGTTTGCTCACCTCTGGCATAGGTAGTACCTGGCCCAGGTGAGTCCTAGAAGTCCTGGGGAACCCTGAGCCTGTCCTGCAGCCCCTCCCCTGCTGCTATTCCATAAGAGCAGGGTCCCCATTCTCAGGAGTCTGTGCACATTCCAGGCCACTCCCTCCCCTTTCTTTTACAAGCACACAGAGGTATCTAGACACACACCCCCACACGAGCAGGGTTGCCTTGGGTGAAAGACTCCGGGGTGGGGACATGGCCCTCCTCCCACACCTTTGCAGGGTTCAGTGTGGTGGATACCACTGCCTGTACTCTGTCATTGCTGGCCACTCGGGTCTGTTTGTAACCTGTTGCACCTTCCAGGGAATCAGGCTGTCGCCTGCCTACACGGTATAGGCTTGGCATTCCGGCCCTTATGTGGAGAACCTGGATCCTCACAGCAACCCCAAGAGTAGATTCTATGTAGATAACAATCCACATGTAACAGATGAAACGATCGCATCCCTGGTGAGCAGGGAGTTGGGATTCACACCTGAGCCAGTTCCAGTGTCCTGTGTTGACCATCACCACCCGGGGTCTGAACCAAAGGTGGGAACCCTGGGGACAGCCTTGCCTTCAGCCAGTCACACCGCCACCCTTGTCTTCACCTCTTCCCAGATCCGGGTTCCTCTCCAGCGGGGAGGCGCTAGGCCTTCAAGATCTTGGAGGCAGAAAGTCTCCTGCTTCATGGAGGCTAGACTCAGAACGGTGTAACTCAAACAGGGACCTGTGTGCGCCAGGTACCAGTCTTCCTCCTGGAGGGCGCTGAGGGCACTAAATGGGGAAAGTTGGCAAAGGGGTGTGGTCTGCTGCACCTAGAAGCTGCCCAGAGCCCAGCCTGGGAGAAACACCAGCACCACCCAAATAAGGGCAGACCCCCCGGGTGCTCACAGAAGGACTGGCCAGGAGAACCACCCTCTCCCGATCCTCTGCCTCCCACGGGGCACCAGCCCCAACTTTGGTGTCCTTCTCTCCCTCAACGCCAGTCCACCCCGCAACTACACCTAGACCTAAGACAGCGGAGAAGCCACAGTTTCCTTCCGAGGGACAAGACAGGGTCAAGTGTTGAGCTAGATTGTCCACTCTGGCTCTCTAGCCAGGAGAAGCTTGGCTTGGACTCTGGAAAGCCCGCCAGAGCCGGGGTGCTGCCCAGGCTGAAAGAGGCCCTGGACCTGCTCTACACAGGCAGGGGTCTGCACCCCAGAGAGCTTCTGAGGACACCCACCCTGCTACCCCCAAGCCCCCAGCCCCCTAGGGTCTAAACCTGCCTGTCCAGCCCAGGGAAGGGCTCCAAGAAGCCTCTCCCAACCTTGAAATCCAGGTCAATCCAAGTGCTGATGAGAGAACACAGAAGTAACAGTAAAGTGCCATTCACTGTCCCGGCCTGTTTGTGTAGGCTGCTGGGCCAAAGCAGCAAACACAGCACATCCGGGAGCCTCCCCCACAAGCCTCTGGGGATTCGCCCAGGAAGAGCCCCCACTGCCCAGCTCCTTCCTTCCCAACCCCCTGGTGGCCCCTGGCTCCTTCCTTCTGGACGGGGGCCCACAGGAACTAGGAGCATATAAGGGGCAGAGGAAGGACACCCAGGCTCCAGGAGACTTACCAGCCAGGTAAGGTGCTCTGCTCCCTGAATGGGCCAAGAGGTTGGGCAGGCCCTGCACTAGGAATCAGGTGACTCTGCTTTCCTCCCCAGAGCCCTGAGCACCAACTAGAAGCCATGCTGCTGTTGCTGATCCTCGCCCTCCTAGGGAGCCCGGCCTGCTGGGCTGACTATATATCTGGTGGGTCTGCCCCCTCCAGCCCATGTCCCTGGTGGCCATCTCACCTCCCTCTACCCAGGAGACCCAGGGACTCTCCCAGTTCTGTCCTGGTCTGTTCCCCAGACCACGCTCTTTGTTGCGGGGTGGGGTCTGCTTCTTGGGGTAGAGGAGGCTTCCCCTTGACTTGGTGTTTCTCCCACCATGGTCCTTATCCACACAGAGATGTACGGGTCCAGGAAGGGCACGTTTTTCTGTTCCTCTGAGTACAATGGAGAAGCCGTCAAGGGAATTCGGGTGTCTACAAATGGCCTTGGCATCATTTTAAAGTGAGTGGGGCCTGGGTGGTGGGGCCTTGCCTTGGTGACCCAACTGTCCCCGGACTCAGAAACATGGTAGAAGGACCCCTTACAGCCTCTTTCCCCAAATCCTCACCTGGCTCCCAACAGCTCTTTAAGCCAGATGATTCCTGGAGTCACAGAGCCACCTGTCCCCTTCCCCCAGCCACCTCCTCTCCTGCTCATTACCTTACTTCTTGACTCCACTTGTAAGTTCCACTGTCACCTTCTGAGTTGCTCAGAGAGGGTTGGCCATGCTTCTCCTTACTTTCTCCTTTCAACCCAAACAACTCAACCAAAGATGGCACCTCAGTTCCCTTGGAACAACCAAGGGGAGGTGTATCATGCTAGAGAAAAGGAGGTGGGGGTCAGAGTGGACCACTGAATGAACATGAGTGGCCAGAAGTATTAAAGGCAGAAAACCCTAATACTGGATGCCCCTGCTTGAGGTCTGGGGTGGATCTTTGCTCTGCACTTAGAGGTTACTGGGGATATGGGAGAGAGAATGGGGCACAGTCACCAAAAGCAAAGCAGACAGAGTGTGGGTAGGGCATGATAGGGAAGCCCTAAGAAATACCAATTGAGCAAAGGGACTCAGATAAGCCCAGCCAGGCAGGGTAGGTAGACTGGTGCACCTGGAGGGGACAGCTCCTCAGGCCTGTGACTCAGACTCCTAAGTGACTCAGGAAGGTCAGGCTTGGCACATGACAGCAGCCAGCTCCTCCTGAGGGTCATGGGTCATCATGACTGGACCCTGCCTGAATTCTCCTCAGGATGACCTCAGGAACCCTGCCCAGCAGTCATTCCCACCTTATACAGGAGGAAACGGAGCCCTGGGGAGGCTGGGTAATGGATTCAAGATCACAAGCCCCACGACTGCTGGGGCCCAGGGTCTCAGGAAGCAGAGTGCAGGAGGGGGCAGGGCCCAGAGGACCAGGCAGTACTGGGTGCTTAGGGCTTGGTCTGTCTCCCAGCATCCAGTTGCAGCTTGGAGACTTCTGGGATGCTGTCCAAGGCATTCCAGGTGGGAGGTCTCAGGAACTGATTCTGGGCCCGAACGAATACATCACAGAGATCCACGGCACATTCTTACTCAACCTCAAGCAACTGATTGTGTGCACCAGCCGGCCACGTTGTGCCTCGTTTGGGAAGAGAGTTGGCCAGGAGTTCTCGGGCTTCCCCAAAGAAGAAGGCGAGGTGCTCAAGGGCATCTGTGGTGTACATGGTGTCTTTGGCATCAGGGGCATTTCCCTTAAGTGGGGTCAGGCACCAACAATGTTAGATACACAAGGATCCGGCTACCCTGATTGGATCCCTGCGGATGCACAGAGTCAGTATGGACCTGAAAAGTAAATTTACCAATCAATAAACTTCTGCAATAACAGAATACATCCAGGCTTGGTCTTTGGGTTTGAGGAACCAAAGTCCCCAGGGCTGGAGCCCAGTGAGTGGAGATGAGGGGTGAGCCCATCCAGCTTACCTCCACTGACCAGGGCCAGTGGCAGGCTTCTCTGAGTGAGCAGGGGCAGGGATGCCATTTGTTCATTCATGTGTTCGTAAAGCAAGCTTTTGCCAGCTCTGGTCCACACCAGCTCCCCCTGGGAGAGAAGAAAGAAACTGAGAAGGACTAGTAACATCCAGCTGAGGAACTGGCTGCTCCAATGGGACAGATGCATAGGCAGATGGTGGCACTGTGTTGGGGCATCTGCACTGATGGGGACGCTGGCAGGTGGTTAGGCATAGGCAACTGCCCAAAGGTGAGGTGGTGAAGGCGATCCCCCACTCACTGTCTTGACAGGGTCACAGTGAGAATAAGTGCTGGCAAAGCCGCTCTCCCACTGTTTTGACAGGGTCACAGTGAGGATGAATGCTGGCAAGGCCACGCTGGTTGGTGGGAAACCAAAACCATGAGACCCTTTTTTATATAATTGGGACTTTTCATTTTCATGCTTATGTTTCTGACAGGAGGCATGAGTATGTTAAATGCCAAACAAATTAAATTTCAGATGGCTAGAACATAACAGGTAGTTCATGCCTTGAAGGCTGTTCTACTACCCCTCAGCATATCAGTACATTGAGGACAAATCTGATAATGGACAACAATCATTTTCTGAAAGGTCATGAGAATTTTAGGCACCACATTGATTATATCAAATAGAACCCAAGCTCATATTTCCGGCCTCTTAGAAAACCTAATTATTATGCTTATTTTACAAAGCCCACCATAGGTAGCCTCATTCTTGATTGAGGAAAGTTATATTATACACTTAGGAAAGTTAAAACATATAAAGATATATTCTTCTCTTTTTATAAACCCTTTTTTACTTTACATAGGAATTTATGATGAGCATAGTTAATATTGGTGGAAAGTGGACTGATGTTTAGAACTTACTTTCTATTGAGAAAGATTATAAAGATATGAGAACTAGTGCACCTTGACTGAGAAACAAAGAAACTCTTTGAGAAAGCAGCTCAACCAGTTTTATGAGAATAAATTTAGGAATTAATTAAAGTAGCTTTATAAGATGTATTTTTAGAATAATGTTAGAAATATTATCCTATTTAGATTTTTGGATTTAGAAATTCTTAAGTTTTTAGTTGTATGGGTTTCTGATATGTTTTAAGAATGATTTATATTTTAAGTATAAGATTTAAGGGGACTTTTTTAGTTGGGAATTTTAGATTAGAAATAAAGTAAAGGTGTACTTTAAACTTAAAGGTTAATGATTGGTTAGGAGACTTAGAGTCTGGTGACGTAGTTTGGCATTAGTTAATAAGAAAATCGCATATCTTGGGGAAAATAGTAAATCTTGGGAAAATCTGAAAAATGTAAATTAGTGATGCATTTTATTAATGATTCTGTACTTTTAATAATTAAATAACTAAAGGTCATATCCTGGAAAAAGGTAAATTAATGTTACATTTTTTGTACCCCTAATTATGGTTAAGGAAATGTCATGTCTTGGCAAAAGTTTTAAATTGTATAATCAGTGACGTATTCTGAATCTATAATGATGAGAAAAAATGCAATAAAAGATGACCCAGAGAAAGCTGCATTAGAGCTCTCTCTCTGGAGATTGCTCCAGCAGAACAACTCCTGTCTCATCTTTTCACCGACGCCACTCATCCTTCAGGACTCCCTGGACCCCGCTAGGGCAGGACCCTGGCAGTGAGGTGGTGGCATTGCTTCAAGGATCTCTTCCTGGAGGAGGCAGGATCTAGGAAATCTTAAAGGATGAGGGAGAATCGACCAGTGGACAAAGTGAGGAGAGCACCTCAGGCTCAGAAATAAACTCAGCTAAAGGCAAGAAGAGCCAGAGAAAGCTGAGGACAGGGCTCTGCTGCATGCCCTGCTCAAAGCAACTCACGGACAAGATGTCCATCTCTCTGGGTGCAAAATGGGGAAACTGAGGCATGGGGCACAGAGTAACTTGACCTGGCTCACATGGCACAGAGTGGCAGAGTTAGGGCCCAGCTGCAGAGTCTGGACCCTGAACCCTGGGATTTCACAAAATCCTAAGTGTTCTGCATAAGATCCACTCTGATACTGTTCTCTACTTTCATTTTTATTCAATTGAAAATGCTTGTCGAGAGCCCGGTAACCTCAGGGAACCCAGGAATGGGGTAGAGTGGGGGTGTCTTTATTTGTATTGCTCTCCATTGGATAGTTTGTGTTCCCCTCTGTATGAACCTGATGTGACATGACACCTGTGAATTTGCCACGCCAGTTACAGTTATCACAGGCACCTCAAAATTCACAGCCATCAGTGTTTGGAAATTATGGTTGTCACCAGCCTTGCCACTGAGCGCAGGTATTTATGAAACACATTTAAGACAATATTCTGGCAAGTGCAGATGCAGTTGCCTTGCAAGGGAGAGCCGTGCCTTTTTTTTTTTTTTTCCCTTCGTGGGGAAAGAGAAGCTACTGGGGTCGGCTGGGGACCTCCCACCTCACCTTCCCTGTGGTTCCACCATCCTGGGCAGCCAGTTCTGTCACTTAATTTATTTCCTGCAACGGGCTTCTAAAAGGGGAATTGGTTTTCAGCATCAACCAGACTCTCGTCCTTTCTTGGGCGGACAGCAGCGGGGGAGGGGAGCCCCTGTTTTCCAGTGCTTCCTGGTATGGCAACAAGGATGGTCAGGAATGGGGCTGATGAGTGACAGCTCCGCCTTGTGAGGGAAGATGAAGAGGTGGAGAGGTGGAGAGGTCGAGGTGGCCGGGAGCTCAAGGAGGGTGACAGCAAGGAAAGCGATGGCGCCCTCTCAAGGAGTGGTTGCAGAGCGCAAGCCAGCACCAGCAATCCTTTCGGGGACTTTCAAGGGAATTCCTTCATGGTGCCCACAGCTAACACTCAGAGAGCCCTGCGTGCCAGACCCTGCATTGAGACAAGCTCTGGCTGGGGTGCTGCGTGCGTTCTCGGGGAACTCGGGTCCGATTGAGCAGACCTAGAAGCCGTGCGCCGGTGTAGGGCCAAAACTCTGTGGTGACGAGGGCCACACGGGCTCAGGTAGGTGCAGAAACTATTCAACACGGGGATTCAGGGTCGCCCTGGCCTCGATGCCTCCAGCCCGGGGTCCTCAGATCTCCCAGCCCAACCAGGTGAGCGCACAGGGGCACCAGGCGGCGGCGCCAGGTGGGGTGTAGAACCTGCTCCGCAGCCCTGGTCCACGCTGGAGGTCGGCTCCTCTGGGACCGCGGTGGGCCCCTGGGTGGACGGCTTCTCTGGGAGACAGGCTCCCGAGAGACAGAGGAACCAGCACTGGTCTTTGGCGGACAGGACCTGCTGGCCGGGAGCGGGAGGGTGGGCGCGGAACTTCCGGCCCCCAGGGCGCCCGAAGGTGACCTGGCGTCCCCTGCTGGTGGTCCAGCGCAGGTGTCGGACGCAGACGAGCGCGCTGCGCTCTAGGGCAGTCACGTGCTCGCCTGCCGGCAGCAAGAGTCCCAGCGCTCTGCCGCGGGGCATTGGGGGGCCCCGGGCTCCAGTGCGCTGCGAGCAGCGTCTGGATGCTGGTGAGAGAACGAGTTAGCACCCCCACACACAGCTAGACTTGCAGCCTGTCCAGCCCCCGAGGACAGCCAGTTTCTTCCCTTGCCGGCTGGGCCCTCCCCACCGTCTGAATGCACGCTTCGTCTTCCTGGCAGGTGCGGTGCTCTGCTTAGCAAGGGTCAGTCTGTCCTCCCTCAGGCTGCTGCTTCCGGCCTCCGCCTCTTGGAATACGCCCATTTCCCTAGGTCCCCAGGGAATCTGGTCCCAAGAGGTTGTGCGACCCCTGCGGTCCTGGAGCCCTCACGCCTCTGAGTCTATCCCTGCATGTCCTTTGGACCAACTGCGACCTGTGGGGCACCTCTCCTACTGCCGGCCTCATCCTGAGCCTGGGGTTGCATCTTTTGCAGGATCTGCCCAGCTCACAACTTCCCCTCCTGGGAGCCTCCTCCCCAAACTACCCAAAGTCAGGCGCAGTTGCCACCTTGAGATTCCTCCTTAGACAGAGTAGACCAGAGGTGGACCTTGACCCAAGCTAGGCTGGTTATTTTCAGGATCAGAGACCAGCAAATCAGGCCAGGCTCTGCCTGATGGTGTTCAAATAAACAGGGAGGTGAAAGGTTATTCCAAGTAGAGCTGCCAGGTAAAATGCAGGCCTTTTTGAGACAGTCTGGCTAAATTGCCCAGGCTGATCTTGTACTTGCCATCCTCCTCCGTCAGCATCCCGAGTTTTTCTGGGGGTATAGGTGTGCACTACTAGGCTCTGTGCAATCATTGAATTTTTATGGGGGCAAGTATATCCCAAATGCTGCACAGGACACACTTATACTAGAAAATGATTGTCAAAAGGCACAGTGGCATATATGCCCATAATCCCAGACATTTGCCGGGCTGAGGCAGGAGGCTCACAAGTTCCAGGTCAGCCTGGGCAACTTGGTGAGATCCTGTCTCAAAATTAAAATAAAAGAGCTGGGAAAGTAGTTCAGTTGGTAGAGCACTTGCTTATCATGCTCAAGGCACTAGGTTCAATCCCCAGAACCAATAAATAAATCGCCTGAGGATGTAGCTCAGCGGGAGAGCACCCCTAGATTTAATCCCCAATACCTACTAATAATAATGACAATTTATCGATTATCTGAAATTCAGTTGAGCTGAGGAGACCTCACTTTCATTTACTAAATGTGGCAACCCTAACCCAAGATACCCAGAACACTTTGGGAGGCTCAAACTGGTGGAAAGAGTCCTTTTCTGGATATCGAAAAGGACCAGTGGCAGGAGAGAATTGCGGTTTTCCATGAGTCTTTTCAATCTGTGCTCATGACCAAGTGGCCCTAAGGCCACCAGACCCCGGGGAGCAAAGGCCCTTCG